GCATCCTCCCCTGGGTCTAACATGAGATGAAGCTGACATTTTGTTCCCAAAAAGCTGGCACTTAGAGCCTCATCTAGTCAAAAGCATCCCTGTCATTGGTCCCCTATCGGACGCTGATGACCGAACAGATTGAGTCAACAGTCTATCCCTATCTAGTGTCTCTGTCAGCCCATTACACTTGACCCTTAGTCTTGAACTCAGCGTCTTGCTTACAGCACAGTAGACTACTGAGACACATGGGACAACATACTGTACTGAAGGTGGGCTCATATGTACACTAAACAAACAAGCGGAACAAAGGAGGAGGTCTTATGTAAGGGGGCTGGAATGTCTGCGCATGTTTGGAGAACAAGCGTATTCATTGTTGAAATCGAGAAAGTTGTCCTCGTATGCTCGGATGTTTTAAAGTGGGATTGTGCGTATGCGTTTGTTTACCTTCATCATGTCCACCATTGGCCTCTTCCAATACCAGGCTGTTCATGCAGTTGATTTCCCATTCCTGAACATCAGTGTTCCAGAGTGCCGGGATCAGGACACGATGTTGGGAGCTGGACACATTTACAAACAAAAAACAGTATTACTTAACAGTATTGATTGTTGGGGGAAAAAAAATGATATTAACAAATGGTAACCGGAGAATGCTAGGGTCTCAAAAAAGTTTCCACAATATATTTTTTTAAGACTGTCAAACAAGTGCTCTTAACAAATTAATGAAATATGTGTTCAATAGGGGTGTAACGATACACCAATTCATATTGAACCGATACGGTACGGTTCTCGGTACACATTTTTAAACCGAACGGTTCGTTGGATTCCATTTTTCATGCCGACCAACATTTCGTTATTTCAAATGTAGGCGCGTCGTGCGTGGAACTCATAGACGCTGGCGTGACAGTTTTAGACCATTTTGACATATTCCTCTGGATCAAACAGCAGCCAGAAAATGAGAAACATTAAGAGATTAAACTAAAATATTTCTTTCCCTTGCTATTAAAAGAAAACACTATCGCTGTGAAACCAGCCCTCCTAACAGAAGTAAACCTTGTCTGTCTGTGTTTAATGTCACAGTGACTTACATAAGTCCCGAAGTGGCCTTGTCAGGGGAAAAAGCCGTACACAAACGGTCTGTCAAGGCTTTGAGAAAAGCAACACGTCAATGGGACTGACTTGGAGGAGGGGCCGAGCATTGTAAAAAAAAAAAAAAAAAAAGCGCAAGGACACCCCAGTCCCTTTCATGAAGGACTATTGTTCACACAACCTCTGATGACAGGTGACAGACCCCCTTGTCACTTAGGATACCAAAGAGCCAGCTAGCACTGAAGTGATGTCAACAGAGCCTCCCTGATTTAATGACTACATAACCACAACTCAACATGAGCTGTAGAGGTTAGTCATCCAAACGGTATAAACCAGCTTAGGTTGGTCGGTCTGATGGTTAAATGCACATCAAGCTTGTTTTATCAGCTCGATTTGATCGGTTAACACTTTTTTTGGGGGGAGGGATTTTGAGTTTCTTCTCTCTTTTCGGTTCCTCTCTTTGGCCTCCTGCGACTGCTTCGTTCTCAGACGGCTCAGTTCTCTGCCTAGCAAAACTCTGATACTCTGAATCAGAGGGGAGCATTTAGGCTTGACCTTGCCGACACTAACGTCCTGCCAGGCGAGCAACGTGAACCCGTTCCCTGATGTGTAGGAGCTTTGTGCTGACTGCCATCTGCATGTCAATGCCAAATAACCCCTTTGAAACTGGCAAATGGCTTCGTTTGCCCTTATAATCCTGTAAAGTGGCTGGCAAAGCGCAATGGGCTCTGCATGGGCACAAACATCTCTACCAAGCCACAACAAATATCGTTTTTAAATGTTAATTGAAGATCCATTCGCAAAGGTGAGTTTTAATATGGGCAGATGACTATAAAAGAATTCCGGATCACATGACAATGGGTTCTGATTGGCATGACAACACGCAGTATTGAATAAAAGGCGACCATAGAAACAACTTAACAATAAGGCCTGGCTTCATGTGTATTTGAGATCCGCTATGTTAATCAAAGTAGTTCTCAGGGCCATGTCGCCATGGTGACTGTGACATCATCAAATAAACACATCTGCTATGAAATGACTCCAATCAATATCTGAACACATGTTCTCTTATTTTCTCAGTAAACAAGAAATATTTTCTTAACACTTTACTTGTGGTTAAAGGTGTGTGAGAATGACATAATCATGACATGTCCCATTTTAGTCTGGGACTGGGCTTAAGCCTTCTGTGAAACCGGGTATGAATGCTTTATTTTTCATTAAATTAAACAAAATATTCTATTTTTAACATCAATAATAACATGAAAAATCATCTGCCAGACTGTAATATCGTTGCACTCACACATCCATAGGCACTCGCAGCAGAACGGGCAGCACGGCGGCCTCCTCAGTCATGTTCATGATACGAGACTCCAGTAGCAGGATGATGGTGAGGCCAGTGCGAAATACAGCCTGCAGCCCTGCAGAAAGTATGAAGAATTGATCGGATCATGTTCGGGAAACCTGTTTTAAAACAATCATTTGCTATTGGTGCAGTGGTGCAGAAATCACACACTTCGACTTTGATAAGCAAACATGGCAGCTTGACGCTTCACTGTAAAAATATTTTCAAGATTTGTTATCACAACGTCAAACCAACTTTATAATAATTTATTTAGTTGAGATAACTTATTATTTTGAGTTTCTGATGATTAAATTAATCTCCTTCATTGTATTAACTCACTTTTTCCAGTTCAAAAAACGTAACATTTTAAGGCAACCCAGGTTACTTACTTTTTTAAGTTAAACCAACAATATTTTTTTACAGTGTAGTAATCACAACATTTTTTCTTTTGTCATATCAACTTAAATAATTTATTTAGTTCAGATAACATATAATTTTGAGTTTCTGATGATTAAATCATTCTCCTTCATTGTGTTAACTCACTTTTTCCAGTTCAATGAACTTAAAATTTTAAGGCAACCAGGTTACTTACTTTTTTAAGTTAAACCAACAATATTTTTTAACAGTGTTGGGATATTATTGTAGTACAAAAACAAGAAAAAGGGGTGTAATACCATGCAGCATGATAAGATCCCAGATGGCCAAAACCGAGTCCCAGCACGGCAGGGAGGTGAAGAGGGTAAGAAACCACTGCATGATGAAATGCAAAGACGACACCCCAAGAGTCTCCTAAAAGCAGACAGTAAACAACACACTCCTGTTAATATCTGAAAGAACAGGTCATATTTCACATCTATCACTTCAAATTTTTCATTTAAGTAAAACAAGCCTTTTTTTCCATTAGAGTTGCATGAGAGGAAAATGTGATGAATTTCACAATGCAAACTCAATAGTCTTAGTAAAGCCTTAAAACGTAACAGTTCTGAAAAAAAGGCTTCATTATAGCATCTTATAGAAAAGATCATTTCTTTGTCTCTTGATTTGGGATGAAATAAGACTTAATCAATGCAGCACTTACATTTTTAGTGAATAATTACCCATATTTTAGTCTGTTCCTCACACAAAGCTCTTATAAACATTGGAATACAATAAACAGTCAATACAGACAAACTTTTATGCTATTTTTGCGCCCTTTTTGAAGCTTGAACGCTCTAATCTCCATCCATCATAATGGAATGGAACTTCATTAAAGAGGCCATATTATGCCCTTTTACACAGTCTTGATTTTGTTTTTGGGGTCAGCTAGGACAGGTTTCCATGCTTGAATGTTCAAAAAACACATTATTTTTCACATATTTTATTGTTGGAGCACCTCTCTTCCCAGTCTGACTGTAAATGCCTATTCACACCAAGAACGATAACGATAACTATATAAGCATCCACACCAGTGGATGATATGAACATCTGCATGCGGAGTTTTGTCGTTTTCTGCTTTAAAAGTTCAAGCTCTTTAAAGCAGGATGGATTGGCTGTCTATGTTTTTATCGTACATCAGCTAGAAAAATAGTTTGGATAATGATTCCGACGATTTTTTTTAATGAGGAGTATTGTGATGAGTACATTCACAGAAGAAAACTGAAGACTACAATCAAGGACTTTCAGGGAGTTCAGAAACATTGTGATATAGAGAATAACTCCCTTTGAATCGGACTTTGTGCTTTAAATTTACAAACCTTTTTTCATGCTCAAACAGCAACATTACACACTAAAGAAAATGTAGAGAGCATAAAAGGTCATCTTTAATGTTATTTACCATATGAGAGTGAACAAATTACAGAATGCTTGATTATAACAATCTACTCTATTTAGTTTTAGGTTTGTCACTGCAATCTGGCCTGCCTGTAAGTTTACAGCATCATCTTTTGTCCTGTGCTGCAGTCTAATAGCTCAGCTTTTCAGACAGCTGTGCTGAGTCAACACACAGAGAGAAGGAAATCCCTTAAGAGTTCTCCAAGCAGCACAAATGCTCTGAGGGGGCGGACAGCCACTATTGTAAAAAAAAAAAAAAAAAACACAGAAGAGCTCATTTAAAAGCCTTTGGGAAAAGGTCTATAAGACACAGAGACAAATCTGTGAAGAACACTAAATGAGAGAGGCTTCTCAAGAGAAAGGCTGAGATCTAGAGGACTGAGAGGCTTTGTGTTTATATATATATATATATATATATATATATACACACACTAAAAACCTGGAATGCAATTTCATTACATACAAATCTAATTAAAATATAGACCAGAATTCTCACCAAGTGCTGGAAGAGCAGAGGTTTCCTGTGTTTCAGGAGCTGGTGAAAAACCAAAGCTTGAAGTTGAATCCTGAAAATTCAAAATTCAAAATTAAAGATTCAAACAAAGTTTAAATTAGGTTTATTTGAAAGAAATTATCGACATGGGCCGAAAAAACAATCAACTTGGCTGATGTGTGATTTCCAAAATTTCAAACAGCTTTGTCAACAGATGATTTTCGTAAATATGGTGCAAATATTGTTTAAATTATAAAGTATATAAAGTAAATATAAAGTAAAGTAGGAACCATTTTATGTGCATGTTTAAAGTTCACACAGTAGAGTTAAGGTCTTACTTCTTCATAGAGGAATCAAAGAGCCCTGAGAGATACTTGGGCTTCTCTAACAGAGCAACCAGAGCCCAGAAAGCGTCTTCTTCAGACAGGATCATTAGGAGCACAGCAGCTATATAGGACATCCCTGAGAAAAACAAACAAACCTTGAGGCATCACATAGCCCCATTATGGCCTCAATGTCAAGGGCGAACTAGCTAAATTATCTCCACGGAAGGAAACCAAATTATGACCATGACATGCAATACCAACAAGATGGCACTTGACTGCCCTCTTGAGACTGAATATCAGTATATTCTGTACTAATATGTTTGAAAGCACCAATAAAGGCACAGGCACAAAGTTCAAAAAGATTGCCAGTGACCTCATTTGTGGAAGTACAGGCAGTTTATTACCTTGTACATATCCAATCTGGGGATTATATCGGGCAAATGCGGTAAGAACTCTGAAAAGTTTGGCCTGGCCCTCAATAGCCTCGGGACGATCCCCCATCAGAGTACGATGGGTCGGAAATGACCTTCCTGTGTAGACAAATATGGAACGGAACTGTCACAACCTTTTAAAAATCTATATACAATGCAAAAGTTATAAAAAGAACACACACAAAGGGCAAATGTTTCAGTTGGGTATTATAGAAGAGTTAGGCTTTTTGTAGCTCAAAAGGTAGAGCATGGTTTCAGAAACTACAAGGATAAGGGTCTGATTCCCAGAAAACAATCAAACTTTGAATGTATACGCTGGTCCACTTTAGGTAAAAGGGCCTGCAAAATGCATTAGTAGAACTGTAAATCTACATAGGAAGTGTGTTTAGGCAGCGCCCCCATGTGGTTTTCCACATTTTGGCAAAGTTCAAACAAAAACATTGCAATCAGGGAACAATTACAGCTTCCTCCTAAAAGTCACAGGACATTTCCCATTTTTTCATCTGAAAATGAGTCAGTAAAAGAGTTTTTAGCTGTTTAGGGTCTGTAAGATTTTTTTTTTAATGGTTCAGAAAGTAATATGTTATGCTAACCAAATTTATGTACTAGAAAAAACAGTAAAAACAGTAATGTTGTGAAATGTTATTACAATTTAAAAAACTGTTTTCTATTTGAATACATTTTTAAAATGCAATTTATTCCTGTGATGGCAAAGTTAAATTTTCAGGACCTATTGCTATTTAACGGCATTTATTTGAAATAAAAAAAATCTTTTGTAACAACATATTTGTCATTACTGTCACATTTCTATATATGTTGTACATATATGTACATATTGTACATATAATTGCATAATTTAAATTGAATAAAAAAAGCATCTTACATAATCCAAACTTAATATAATTTTTGACAACAAAATTATAAGAAATATTTTTTGAGCAGTAAATCAGCATATTAGAATGGTTTCTGGAGGATCATGTGACACTAAAGACTGGAGTAATGATGCTGAAAATAGCACAGGAATAAATTATATTTTAAAATATATTGACATTGAAAACAGTTATAACAAATTGTAATAATATTTCACATTATTCCAATTTTTTTCTGTATTTTTATCAAATAAATGCAGCCTAAGCGACATTCAAAAATAAAAATAAAATATTATAAAATTATATTTTTATATTCATATAAAATTAATAAATATAACAATTTTATATAAAAATATAAAATTGTACAGACCACACTTTTAAATTAATTAATTAATTAATTAAAATAAAAGTAGTCAAATATAGTACTCAACAGTTAAGTGTATGTTATAGAAAAATATCATGCAATTTCAGTGGACATCCAAAGGCAGAACTCACGTAGGTCAAGGGCGATCTGTTTGAAGAGTGTGAGGTCAGCACTGGGGAGATCCGACTGTCCGCTGCTGATCTCATTCTCTGTGTCCACTAGAGAGTCTATAGTGGAGATGATGCTGTACTCACTGACTCCAAGATCCACAAGAGGTCTACGGATCTCAGCCTGACACGCCTGAAGCAGATGGGTTAAAACAAGGCAAATGTCTCTGATTTGTTTGAACAATCATAACAAAATAATATATATTAAAGGGGTTGCACCTCATAATCAAAAGAGCTAGCAGCTCTGAGACTGTCGATATTTAGGAGGCATTTCCAAACTCGTCCACGTATCGCCGGAGGAATACCAATTCGAATAAACCTCTCAATCTGATTTGGGGGGAAAAGGAACGTGAAAATTATTAAACACATTAAAACATTGAGTAAATCATTTGAAATGCAGGGCTGGGTAAAGTTCAGTATAAGGTTAGATTTTTAATTGATAAACAGGAATTGGGTTTGGAATAAAAATAAAAAAACAACAAAAGAATGTAATTTATTAGTCAATTATTTAGACTAAATATGAATATTCATTCTGATGAGCTCATTAGTTGATTTCTCAAAAGATCAGATTTTAAAGAGTATAATTAAAGATGACGTACATTTTTGTGAATGCCAATTGAAATGCACTCCTGAATGGTGCATTACCCTAAGTACATGTCAAAATATTTCATGTCTTCTAGAGAAAGATGCACACCTGATTTCTGCAGATGAAACTGGATCCATTCCAGTAAGTGAGAAATTCACACAGCTCCTTCACTTTAACTGGATTAGGCTGAGGATAACTGTTGGAAACAGTTAAAGATGCTCCTAATGTTTTACTTGTCGAGTGCAGATCCCAGCATAGTGTTTATTCACGTGAAACTGAATTATATTTCCAGTTATGAAAATGAACTGAAAGCTGAACCAAGTAAAATACATGTATCGAAAACAAAAACCTGGAAGTAACTTAACATTTTATACGTAGTGTTAGCAATACTAGCATGTATGCAACGTTAGTCAACATCTAACCTGTAGTCATGACTTCTGTGTTGGAGTTTCCTGACTCTTTTCTTACTGAAAGCAAAGCCGAACTCATCGAAGCCTACAGAGCTGCTCCGCCGTGAAGTGTTGCTCTTCCCGCTGCTCGAGCTGCTCGCTCTCCTCAACATGGTTCTCGCAGGCAATCAGTGAATCCTCTAATCTGTGCCCTGTTCACTCCGACGCTTGAACTCAGCGCCATGATGAACACAATCAAACTACTCTTCAAAATAAAAGTCTGACTCTTGCCAAAAGAAAGTCACTAATAAAATATATATATAAAATAATTTATAAACATAAAAATAAACTTTATTAAACTTGACTTTTATAAAACATTATTTTATAACATATTTATGATAGGAATCTGCTTTCCTCTTGAGTCAGGATTGGTCAACTGGTGAAAGCTCAGAATATGCTTATTCTATATTTCTGAGTCATTTTCAATCCCTCTGGTTGGCCGAGGACCCCCAAAAATATAAGCAACATCACACGAGGAGAGTAGCCGTGCGATATGGCTCTAAATCAGCAAGGCTTAGATGTGATTGCGTTTAATGGTATTTTAATTTTTATGAGGGTTGTGTATTCCCTAGTTACCGACAACCAAGTTTTTAGGTTTTAACTTTTATATAACTTTTTCGTTTGTTTGAAATATTAATGTTGTTTTTTACATTTAAAACATTTTATTCCTCATATTATCAAAATTCATTAAATGTAATAAAAAAGAAATGCAATGCTTCATCAGAATTTAACCTATTAGTTGAGTCTCTTGGCTCAATTTTTTAATACACCCACAAGTTGATTTATGTGGCTATATGTCTATTTTGTACTCTTGATGGTTTAGATTTTAACCTCATATGCTTTTTTAAGCGTTGTAGCTGATTTGTGGCTTGTACACCTAAAAATATACTCTGCATTTATTTTATTTTTTTAAATTGTATTTCCCATCAATTTTCTATAGTGAAGTGTTGACTTTTCTCTCTTGACACTTAGTCTTTTACAATCATGTACTTTTTTTCTGTTTCGGCCAGTGCCACAAAAGGTACCAGGTTTCGCATTCATTCCGATAAAGTTACCATAACCATTTTCAGTCAAAAGTGACCAGAGGGTTAATGACATCATTTACATTACATCACATTTACAGTACACATGGATTCATTAAATCCAGAGTGCTCTATTGTATACTGCACATTTCGTAAATATCAAATATCGATACACCTCCATTATTGCACATAAAATGATTTCAAGCCACTCAAAGAAATATTACTGTATTACTGTAAAACACACTACAGGACATCAGAATAAACAGTTGATTAAAAACAAGCACTTTCTTCTGAACAGGCAGGAGAGGGCAGGTGTCCTTCAGTACCTGATAAAAAGGTAAACCACTTTAAATACATTGACTTCAATAGTTGACTAAAAAGTTTCAAATAAAGATGGAAGTAAAATAACTTTTACAGTGATTTGACATGCATTACTGTTTAAGGAACGTAACCTTCTATCGAAGGCCTGCCTTGAGCAGGATTGATGGGATTCCTGCAGTTACACAATAGATTCCTCAATGCCCTGTTCACTCTGTGGATCTGAGCCAACAACAGGGTTGGGGTGTCTGGGAACTCCTGAAGTACTTTTCTCATCTCCTTTTTGCTGGAATAGTCTTCCAGCTTCAAGCATAGACTCTCTCGAACCTGCTCTAAAGCCTGTAATCCCATCCACAGAAGGTCCTTTTCCCTCTCCAAGTCCTTCAGTTTTTTCACCTGTAAATAAAAAAATATATTCATGCAATCTTTGTTTTTGTTTTGTTTTTACATTTTTGCATGATAATCTGTGACTGTATTAGTGTTTGTGTGCACACAATTAGATTATGCAAAGTAGACAAAATAAAAATAGACCACAATGACTGTGTTAAGTAGCTGTGAACTATGAGTATTCCCATCAGAGCTGGATGGGAATGTCGTGATGAACTGTGATGGCTGACGTCTGTGTTGAGAATAAACTTTTAGTTTGAAAAAAATACTGATGTAACTTTTATAGTAGTTTTAAGATAAATAACCAACCTAAAATGTACAGTTAAACCTGAATTAACAGCAGTACATACATCACTTGACTGAATTATGATTTCTACCTTTTCTAAACAGTGTGATTGCTTAGTTTATCCAACAATATGGTCACTTCAATTCAATTTGAATTACTTCAAATTGTTTACTAAAAGCATTGCTAGAAAACCCCCAATTGCATTACAAATTATAACGAACATACATAAGAAAGCAAACTAACCCAGAGGAAGAAATGCACTGCATCCAGACTGGTAACCCTGTTCCTGAGAGGGACAATGACCACTGTGTAAGATGCCATTGGAGTCACTAAAGAAAGCAAAGCTTTTCATTTAAGGAAACGAGGAGAGAAGCAGAGAGTAAGAGAGAGTGGAAGAACAGAGGCTGAGGATTTGCTGAAACTCCACCCTAGTGACAGAGCGGCAGGTCAAAGTGTACAGTTTGCACAACTACCAATGAAGAAATTCAAACAAAACTCTTCACAAACAATAAAACTTGTTAAAATTACTTTACAAAATGAACAAAAGCAAACACATAAAAACAGCTTTAACATGAAAAACTTTTCTAACTTTCATAGTATAACATTCAACATTCACGTAGAACAGTTCTGGCATTATCTGCCATAAAGCCATTTAAATGTCCATCATTTGTCCATCTCTCTTTCTGTGTCGTTCTCATTGTTCAGTGGGTATGGGGTGAGGTCCAGGGTGAGAAGACGGCTGAACATGCATTCATCAAACTGTGATGACAAGCAAAAAAAAAAAAAGAAAAAAGGAGTGCATGATAAATGAGAGAACAGTTAGGCATGAATCAAAAAGCATCCAAAATTTGAAAAGACTCTAATTAAAAAATGTTAAATAAACTTGATAAACAAGTTTAATTTCTGTGTTGATGTACTTCCTGCTAAAAAAGGAAGCTACTATATAATAAATGGTTTGTCTACTTTTTGAGAAAAAAAAATATATACTATACTAATATTCTATACACCCCTGTAAACAAACGTATGAACAAACGTAAATAAACGTATTTCCATATATTAGTATATATTGGTGCATTACCTGAATATATTGAGCATTATTGTAAGAAAAATGTGGTTACTTTGAAAAACATTAAGAGTTTGGAGTTCATTAATTTTTATTTTTTTTCTAAGAAATTAATCGTTTTATTCAGCAAGGACACATTAAATCGATCACACGTGACGGTAAAGACATTAATGCATCAAAAGTTTTGTTTCAGATAAATGCTATTTCTTCGAACTTTCAATTAATTGATTCTTTAAAAAATGCATCATGGTTATTTTACATGATTAATTTCATTTTAAAGGTAAGATATGCCTCTAGTTTTAATCAATTAAACAAGCCTTTAAAGTTTGGGCAAAAACTTCTGGCTAGTGTTTTCTTGTACTTTATGGTGATTGTGAAGCAGGCCACCTCACTTATATGATTTTATGGTGAAATGAGTTATTTTTCATGCTATTTTGAACAAGAACACTGCACTGTGGCTTAAATTCAGCGTGAGAGACAGCAAAAATAGACTTGGCACTGAAACGATGCCGTTTCTGCTCTGCGTAGAATGCTCTAATCTGATAACATTGGTGGCGTAACAAATATGCAGCGCTTACACGTTCAGTGTGAAAAAGGCCAGAGTGCACAATGCACCGGTACCGAATTGAGTTCTCTTTTGCATCTTTTCACCCTTCAATGTTTTTAGAGCACTTGAATGAATGATAGCATGATCATTTAATGTAACAGGAAAAGAACAGACACTCTGTTTGAGATCGATGTGATACAGTATGGATGTGTGTATACCGAAGAATAGACTCCAAGAAGAGCGTCTGCCCGCGAGTAGAACTCTTCCTTCAGGGAGATCACAATGATCTGGCAGCTTTCTCTGGACATCATCCGGAAAAATCCTGTGACCTGAAAGGAAACAATGTCTTTCTATCATGGCAGATAATATCAAAACAGCGAAATCAAGACATTGAGGCTGGTCTTACCTTGCCAATGTTTGTGTTGTCCAGGGCAGCATCCACTTCATCCAGCACAAAGAACGGGGCAGGGCGAAAGCTAAAATTAAACAACAATAATGTTTACAGTTTTCCCCACATCAAAAACATCTGTATTTCTAGTCAGATATTACTTTACAAGAATTTTGTTTATGTGCTTATGTTGTTTTTCACCTGTGAATGGCAAAGACCAAAGCGAGAGCAGCGATGGCCTTCTCTCCTCCTGACAGGTTGTCCATGGCCATGAATCGTTTCCCAGGAGCCACACAGTTATAGTTGATGCCATCCAGGTAAGGCTCATATGCGTTCTCAGCGCTGAGAATGGCCTAAAGGACGTGCGTAAAAACAAAGTTTCATACAAAAATAAAAATGAATGAACAAGTCATTGATGAAGTGAGTCAAGCATGGACCTGAGCGCTGGTGTTTCTGCAGAGCTTCTTGTAGATCTGGTCGATGACGATAGACACGTGTTCAAAGCACTGACTGAAGAGTTGGAAGCGTTTGGTCTTCACTTGCTCAAACTCCTGACCGCATTTCTTAGTAGTATGTGTGCTGGTCTCAAAAGCTGAGGGTTTGGTATGGAGAGGTAAAAACACACAAACAAGATCAATGTTTTATGTGATTGATGGATGTGTTACGACAATAAATTGAAAACCTAAAGGGGTTATTATAACAAACTAAAACTAACCATAGATAATCTCAAAGCTAACAGACATGGACTACCTAGGCAACTAAAAATGTAAAATGTTGAAGGTTTAATAGAGGGGCTATTCAGGAGTACTCCCACTCCCCACCATGAAATATATTCATATTGCTCTCGTACCATCCATGACTTCCCGGTAGCTGTCCTTAACATCTCTGATCTTTTCTAGAGCTTTCAAGTTGGGAGCTCTAGACATCATGATCATGGACTCCAGAGAAGAGATGCTTTCTTTGAGCTTCTCCAACTGAGCCTCCAATTCACTCTCATCAGTGAGGGCCTACACACACAATCAATTAAAATCACTTTTACAACTAGGGCTGTCGCAGTGAAGAAATTTCCCTTGCGGTAATTTTGAGTGACTCAATAGAGCCATTTTGATTTATTTGTTGTTGCGATGTGGTCATCACGCACAAAAACGAAGACATATTCAGTAAAGAATATTTCACCAG